AGTACTGTCAAGACAACAAAACCAAATGTTAGAAAAGTAAAACAAAACAAAACAACAAAACTTTGAGTGCAATGTTAATTGTTGTCTGAGTCTTTGAATTACCTAAAATTATAATCATATTTCTTTGATTAAAATCATTTGGCTGAATTAAAATGTTATAGGCAGAAAGAACTGACACTGCGAAATGAGAAATGTCTTATACCAGAGATCCCGAATTAAATCAGAAATAATGGAGAAGACAGAAAAGATTCTATCTGAGCAAACATGCTAAATAATCTGAGGCTTTTTATACTTCCAACTATGTGTGTATGTGGGTGTGTAAACTGCATGTGTATGCACATGTACATACATATGTATATGTACATATATACAGTATACGTATGTTATAAAATCATCAATCAGTTAGGTAGGTGAGCTCAAATTCTTCAGGCTTGTGCAAGTGCACTAATCTGTGCTAAAGTTTTTATACCTGTCACCTGCCTCTTTGCTTTGTCTTTCCTATCTCTTACATATAATATTTTGATACATCAAAATCACTTGGAAATAGTTCAGATCTAATGTGAACAACAGATTCAAACATGGGAGCATTCTATAATGGACACAACTATATATTTATTCCATTTGGCATTTCAGGAGAAGTAGTTTTGAAAATGTAAAATGGCAGAGAGCAAAACTTGACCTCTCACAAAATACGATAAATATTCTTCCTTTAGACAATTCACTAAGATAAAGGAAATTGTATGTACTTGGAAAAGTGAAGTGGCAAATTAAAATTTTTCCAAAATCGGGATTATAGGTGCCATTAAGTCTATTTTTCCTACAATAGCTCTTTTATTGCATAATACACACCATATTACATACACATACACAATAATTTCTTATACTTATTTCAAATTTTCAGTCCCTTAAAATATGTATAAAAATACAAGTGAAAAATTTTTGAAAAAATAATGTTGCTAAATATGACAAATCAAAAGTACACTGTTTAAGCTATAAAGCACACTTATTGACAAATAGAAATAAATGACAAAAGCTGCAACCTCATACCGTTGACGTCTGCATCAAGTAATCATAGTCGTCCCGATCATCGGCAAGGACATCTTCAGTGAGTCTTGCAGAATGGCTTGTGCTATAATCTGGCTTTGTTCTTCTAAGCAGAAATCTGAAATATATTAGACAGCTAGGAATAAGCAGCATTAAAATGTCCTGCCCACTTCAAATATGAGCACATAATCAATTGAGTTGTCTTCAGCCAGGGTGATTTCACTCTTTGGGGGACATGTGGAAATAACTGGAGATATTTTTGGTTGTCACAAGTGGAGAAATGAAATGCTACTGGTATCTAGTGGGTGGAGGCCAGGGATGCTGTTAAACATCCTTCAATGTCCAGGGCAGCTCCCACAACAAAGAATTATCTGACCCAAAATATCAATAGTGCTGAGATTGAGAAATCCTAATTTAGTGAAAGAAAGTAGGATAAAATTACTTGCCTTTTTGATCATAAAAAA